GGATGCATGGATGGATGAATGGATGAGTGGGTGGATGGAGGGATGGATGGATGAATGGAGAGATAGATTCACATACAGATGTTCATGGCCTTCATTTTGGTCTCTCCACGGCAGCTCCAGCTCCACAGGAGGAGGAATCCAAGCCAGTGCTGGGTGAGCTCAGGGTGTCCGAGGTCACCTCTGACTCGGTGCAGCTGGAGTGGAGCGTCCCCGAGGGCACCTTTGACTCCTTCACGCTGCAGTACCGCGATGCACAAGGCCAGCCCCAGGTGCTGCCCGTGGACGGGGGTTCCCGCACGCTGACGCTGCCGGGGCTGTCCCCGTCCCGCCGCTACAAGTTCAACCTGTACGGGCTGTGGGGTCGCACACGCCTGGGCCCCGTCTCCACCGACACTGTCACAGGTGAGGGGGCTCTGGCACCAGCCCCGCTGAACCGCCTCTTGTAGTGGACAGAAGCTTGGGCAGGGCCCGTGCTCGTGCCTTGGTCAGTGGAGGAAAGGGGGGGGGAGGGGATTTGGGATCAATGGAAGGATGGGGGTGTGACAGGTTGGAAGGGTGGAGGGGTAGCTGAATGCATGCATTGATGGGTGATTGGGTGGATGGATGGATGGATGGATTTCCAGATGAATGGTTACATGGATGGGTGATGAATGGATGGATGGATTTAAGGATGGATGCATGGATGGATGAGTGGGTAGATGGGTGGATGGATGGATGGATGGATGGATGGAGGCATGGATGGATGGATGAATGTGGGCATGGATGGATGAATGAGAGGGTGGATTAAGGGATGGAAGGATAGATGGATGGATGGATTCATGAATGGATGAATGAGTTGCTGGATGAAAGGATGGAAGGATGCAAGGATGGATGAATGGATGAATGATTGGGTGGGTGAATGGATGGATGGATGGATGGATGAATGGATGGATGGATGGATGAATGGATGGAGGCATGGATGGATGGATGGGTGGATGGATGGGTGGATGGAAGGATGAATGGATGAGTGGCTGGATGGTTGAGTGGGTGGATGGGTGTATGGTGAGGTGAGTGGTTGGATTGATAGATGGATAGATGGATGTGTGGATGGATGGATGGATGGATGGATGGATGGATGGATGGATGGATGGATGGATGGATGGATGGATGGATGAACGGAAGTAAGAAACGATTTATGAGTATAAGGATGAGTATACATAAACAATGTGTGTTGAATTCCTGGAGAGCTGGATGCTGATGGAAAGCATGGAGGGCTGAATGGATGAAAGAATACAGCAATGGATGGTTGGAGTTATGGATGGTTGATGGACCCTGAACGTCTTCAAGGCCAGGTCTGACTGTGCTGAATCAGCAACTGAATGTACTGAAGGTGGATGATGGGGTTGCTCATCATCCATGATGGATGCTCATCGTCCATGATGGATGGACGGATGGATGGTTGCTCATCGTCCATGATGGATGGACGGATGGATGGATGGATGGATGCATGGAAGGATGGATGGATGGATGGATGGATGGATGGATGCATGGATGGATGGATGGATGAATTTGGAAATAGGAGTACGTTAGGGTGGTGATGCACTGGAATCGGTTGCTCAGGGAGTTGTGAATGCTCCATCCCTGGTGGAGTTCCAGACAAGGTTGGACGAGGCCTTGGGTGGCCTCCTTTCCAACCCTAACTATGCTATGATTCTATGATTCTCAAAATATGGAATGCCTGGAGAGCGTTCACTCAATGAGGAGCATTGAGGTTGCATTGATGAATAGATCCATGAATAGATGAGAGGTCAGTCAGGAGATGATTGAGTACGTTGGTGATCCTGTAGTGGTCTCTTGATAGGATTCTATAGATGCAGGGATGGAATGAATGATGGAAAGGACGATGAATGATGTATGGATGAGACATGCATGTGTGGATGGATGGATGGATGGATGGATGGATGGATGGATGGACGGATGGATGGACGGATGGATGGATGAATGGAGGAATGAATAGACGGGGGATGGATGGATGGGGGATGGATGGATGGATGGATGGATGGATGGATGGATGGACGGATGGACGGATGGATAAATGGAGAAATGAATAGACGGGGGATGGATGGATGGGGGATGGATGGATGGATGGATGGATGGATGGATGGATGAATAGAAAGGGGGATGCACGCATGGATGGATGGATGGATGCATGCATGCATGTTGGGGTCGACAGATGGATGGATGGATACAAGAATGGATGGATGAGTGGGTGGATGAAAGAATGGAAGAATGGATGGATGCATGGATGTTTGGGGGGATGGATGGTTGGATGGATGGATGGATGGGTGGATGGATGGATGGATGGATGGATGGACGGATTTACAGACGAGTGGTTACGTGGATGGCTGGTGAACGAATGGATGGGTTGAAGGATGATTGGATGGATGGATGAGTGGGTGGATGGATGCATAGATGCATCGATGGATGGCTTGATAGATGAATGGATGAATGCGTGGGTGGATGGGAGGATGGATGGATAGAGGGATGAATGGATGGATGGAAGAGTGGGTGTATGGATGGATGAATGGATGAGTTGGTGAAAGCATGAATGAATGCCTGGAATGATGGATGGATGGATGGATGGATGGATGGATGGATGGATGGATGGATGGTTGGATGGATGGATGGATGGATGGATGGATGGATGGATGGATGGTTGAGTGGGTGGATGGGTGTAAGGATAGATGAGTTGTTAGATGATAGATGATTGAGTACGTCAGTTATCCTGTACTGGGCTCTTGATAGGACTCTATAGATGCAGGTCTGGAATGAATGATGGAAGGAAGGATGCATGATGTATGGATGAGGCATGCATGTCTGGATGGATGGATGAATGGATGAACAGATGGATGGATGAATGGAGAGATAGATTCACATACAGATGCTCATGGCCTTCATTTTGGCCTCTCCACTGCATCTCCAGCTCCACAGGAGGAGGAACCAGCATCACAGCCAGTGCTGGGTGAGCTCAGGGTTTCCAACGTCACCTCTGACTCGGTGCAGCTGGAGTGGAGCATCCCCGAGGGCACCTTTGACATTAATTTGGGATTAATGGAAGGATGGGGGATTGATAGGTTAGCAGGCTGAAAGGGTTGTTGAGGATGGATGCCTGGCTGTATGGATGGATGGATAGTTGGATGATGGATGGATGGATGGAGGGATGGAAGGGTGGGTGGATGGATGGATGGATGGATGATGGATGGGGGGATGGATGAATAGTTGGATGGGTGGACAGATGGGTGGATACTTGAATGATTGATGGTTGGATGCGTTGATGAATTGATAGTTTTGTGGGTGTTATCTTTTGTCTTTGGTTCACAGTCTCAAGTGACTGTTTTGATCGCTCAAAGATTCATTGGAGGGATGGGTTAAAGAACCTGTACAGAGAAGAGTGCAGTGAAAGACAGAATAGTGAATAGGTCCCTGGATGGAAGGATGGATGATGGGTGGGTGGATCATGGATGGATGGATGGGTGACGGGACTGATTGAGGGATGGATGGTGTGTGGATGGATATATGAATAGACAGGGAGATGGGTGGCTGGCTGGATGGATGAATGGATGGAAAGATGAATGGAATGATGGACTGAAAAATGGATGGATGGATGGATGGATGGATGGATGGATGGATGGATGGATGGATGGATGGACGGATGGACTGGGGGATACATTCATGGATGGATGGGTGGATGGATGGATGGATGGATGGATTCATGGGTGGATAAATTTGGAAATATGAGTTGGTTAAGGTGGTGAGGCACTGGAATGGGTTGCCCAGGGAGGTTGTGAAAGACAGAATATTGAATAGGTCCGTGGATGAAGTATGGATGATGGGTGGGTGGATCATTGAATGATGGGTGGGTGCGTGACTGAATGGATGGATGGATTGAGAGTGGGAGGGCTGGAAGAATGGATGGATGAGTGGGTGGATGGATAAATGGATGGATGGAAGGATGGATGGATGGATGGATGGATGGATGGATGGATGGATGGATGCATAGAAGAAAGGATTTATCAGTAGAAGGATGAGTAGAGGGTAACGATGTTCCTTGAATGACTGGAGGGCTGGATGGCTGCGGAATGCATGGAGTGTTGAATGGATGAACGGATACAACACTGAATGCTTGCACTGATGTATGGTTGAGAGAATCTGAGAGTCTGCAAAGGCAGGTTTCACTTTGCTGAATCAGTGATTGGTTGAACGTACAGAAGGCGGGTGGTGGAGTTTGTGCCTGATCATGTGGTGAGGGTTTGAAATGTCTCTAGAGCAGCACGGCTTCCTGTGAGAGGGTTGGATAGGACGGATAAATGGATGTATTTGGATTTGTGAGTGGGAGAATGGAGAGATGGAGCCATGGAATCCAGAATGTCTGGAGTGCTGAGTCCCAGTATTAAGAGTTGCATGGATGAATGTGTGCATCAATGAATAACTGATCAGATGGTGGATGTTTGAGTTTGTCACAGATCCTGTATTGGGTGCTTGATGGGACTTCAGAGACGCATGGGTGGAAGGAAAGGTGGAAAGGAGGATGATTGATGGAGGCATTGATGAATGAATGGATGATGGATGGATGGACAGATGGATGGTTGGGTGACCGTACTGACAGAGGGATAGATGGTGGGTGGATGGTGGATGGATGGATGGATGGATGGATGGATGGATGGATGGATGGATGAATAGACAGGGGGATGGGTGGATGGATGGATGGATGGATGGATGGATGGATGGATGGATGAATAGACAGGGGGATGGGTGGATGGATGGATGGATGGATGGATGGATGGATGGATGGATGGAAGGATGGATAAATGGATGGATAAATGGATGGATAAATGGATGGATAAATGGATGGATGATCGGCGGGCTGGCTGGCCAGCTGGATGGATGGATGATTGGATGGATGGATGGATGGATGGATGGATGGATGGATGGATGGATGGATAGATAGATGGTTGGACAGAAGGAGGAACAGATGTATGGATCTAGGCATGGATGGATGGATGCTCATAGGAATGGTGGAATGGCCCTTCAACTAGTGACTGGGTATATCTCCTGCATTGTGGCCTTTCCACTGCAGCCCGAGCTCCACAGGAGGAGGAACCAGCATCGCAGCCAGTGCTGGGTGAGCTCAGAGTGTCCGAGGTCACCTCTGACTCGGTGCAGCTGGAGTGGAGCGTCCCCGAGGGCACCTTTGACTCCTTCACGCTGCAGTACCGCGATGCACAAGGCCAGCCCCAGGTGCTGCCCGTGGACGGGGGTTCCCGCACGCTGACGCTGCCGGGGCTGTCCCCGTCCCGCCGCTACAAGTTCAACCTGTACGGGCTGTGGGGTCGCACACGCCTGGGCCCCGTCTCCACCGACACTGTCACAGGTGAGGGGGCTCTGGCACCAGCCCCGCTGAACCGCCTCTTGTAGTGGACAGAAGCTTGGGCAGGGCCCGTGCTCGTGCCTTGGTCAGTGGAGGTGGGTTGGGATTTGAGGTCAGTGGAAGGATAGGGGAGTGACAGGTTGGAAGGGTGGAGGGGTAGCTGAATGCATGGATGGGTGGTTGGGTGGATGGATGGATGGATTTCCAGATGAATGGTTACATGGATGGGTGATGAATGGATGGATGGATGGATTGAAGGATGGATGCATGGATGGATGAGTGGGTGGATGGATGGATGGATGGATGGATGGATGGATGGATGGATGGAAGCATGGATGGATGGATGTGTGCATGGATGGATGAATGAGAGGGTGGATGAAGGGATGGAAGGATAGATGGATGGATGGATTCACGAATGGATGAATGAGTTGCTGGATGAAAGGATGGAAGGATGCAAGGATGGATGAATGGATGAATGATAGGGTGGGAGAATGGATGGATGGATGGATGGATGGATGGATGGATGGATGGATGGAGGCATGGATGGATGGGTGGATGGGTGGATGGAAGGATGAATGAATGAATGGCTGGAAGGTTGAGTGGGTGGATAGGTGTATGGATAGATGAGTGGTTGGATGGATAGATGGATGGATGGATGTGTGGATGGATGGATGGATGGATGGATGGATGGATGGATGGATGGATGGATGGATGGATGGATGGAAGAAACGATTTATGAGTAGAAGGATGAGTATACATAAACAATGTGTGTTGAATTCCTGGAGAGCTGGATGCTGAAGGAAAGCATGGAGGGCTGAGTGGATGAAAGAATACAGCAATGGATGGTTGGAGTTATGGATGGTTGATGGACCCTGAAAGTCTTCAAGGGCAGCTGTGACAATGCTGAATCAGCAAATGAATGTACTGAAGGTGTATGATGGGGTTGTTTGTCATCATGTGTTGAGTGTTTGACAGGTATTTAGAGCAGCATGGCTGCCTATGGGATGGATGGATGGATGGATGGATTGATGGATTCATGGATGGATAAATTTGGAAATATGAGTTGGTTAAGGTGGTGAGGCACTGGAATGGGTTGCCCAGGGAGGTTGTGAATGCTCCATCCCTGGCGGTGTTCAAGACAAGTTTGAACGAGGCCTTGGGTGGTATGATTTACCGTGAGGTGTACCTGCCAATGGCAGGGGAGTTGGAACTAGATGATCTTAAGGTCCTTTCCAACCCTAATTATGCTATGATTCTGTGATTCTATGAATATGGAATGCCTGGAGAGCTTTACCTCACTGAGGAGCATTGAGGTTGCATTGATGAATAGATCCATCAATAGATGAGTGGCCAGACAATAGAAGATTGAGTACATCGGTGATCCTGTACTGGGCTCTTGATAGGATTCTATAGATGCAGGGATGGAATGAATGATGGAAGGGACGATGAATGATGTATGGATGAGGCATGCATGCGTGGATGGATGGATGGATGGATGGATGGATGGATGGATGATGGGTGAGTGGATCCTTGATAAATGGATGGGTGGGTGGATGGATGTATGAATGGGTGGATGGATTGTTCGATGGATAGAAGAAAGCATTTATTAGTAGAAGGATGAGTAGAGAGTAACGACGCTTGTTGAAGGACTGGATGGCTGCGGAATGCATGGAGTGTTGAATGGATGAACGGATACAACACTGAATGCTTGCACTGATGTATGGTTGAGAGAATCTGAGAGTCTGCAAAGGCAGGTTTCACTTTGCTGAATCAGTGATTGGTTGAACGTACGGAAGGCGGGTGGTGGAGTTTGTGCCTGATCATGTGGTGAGGGTTTGAAATGTCTCTAGAGCAGCACGGCTTCCTGTGAGAGGGTTGGATAGGACGGATAAATGGATGTATTTGGATTTGCGAGTGGGAGAATGGAGAGATGGAGCCATGGAATCCAGAATGTCTGGAGTGCTGAGTCCCAGTATTAAGAGTTGCATGGATGAATGTGTGCATCAATGAATAACTGATCGGATGGTGGATGTTTGAGTTTGTCACAGATCCTGTATTGGGTGCTTGATGGGACTTCAGAGACGCATGGGTGGAAGGAAAGGTGGAAAGGAGGATGATTGATGGAGGCATTGATGAATGAATGGATGATGGATGGATGGACAGATGGATGGTTGGGTGACCGTACTGACAGAGGGATAGATGGTGGGTGGATGGTGGATGGATGGATGGATGGATGAATAGACAGGGGGATGGGTGGATGGATGGATGGATGGATGGATGGATGGATGGATGGATGGATGGATGGATGAATAGACAGGGGGATGGGTGGATGGATGGATGGATGGATGGATGGATGGATGGATGGATGGATGAATAGACAGGGGGATGGGTGGATGGATGGATGGATGGATGGATGGATGGATGGATGGATGGATGGATGGGTGGATGGGTGGATGGATGGGTGGATGGATGGATGGAGGCATGGATGGATGGATGTGTGCATGGATGGATGAATGAGAGGGTGGATGAAGGGATGGAAGGATAGATGGATGGATTCATGAATGGATGAATGAGTTGCTGGATAAAAGGATGCAAGGATGCAAGGATGGATGAATTAATGAATGATAGGGTGGGTGAATAGATGGATGGATGGATGAATGGATGGATGGATGGATGGATGGATGGATGGATGGATGGATGGATGGATGGGTGGATGGATGGATGGGTGGATGGAAGGATGAATGGATGAGTGGCTGGATGGTTGAGTGGGTGGATGGGTGTATGGATAGATGAGTGGTTGGATGGATTGATGGATGGATGGATGTGTGGATGGATGGATGGATGGATGGATGGATGGATGGATGGATGGATGGATGGATGTGTGGATGGATGGATGGATGGATGGATGGATGGATGGATGGATGGATGGATGTGTGGATGGATGGATGTGTGGATGGATGGATGGGTGGATGGATGGATGGATGGATGGATGGATGGATGGATGGATGGATGAACGGAAGTAAGAAACGATTTATGACTAGAAGGATGAGCATACATAAACAATGGAGAGCTGGCTGCTGAAGGAAAGCATGGAGGGCTGAATGGTTGAAAGGATACAGCAATGCATGGTTGGAGTTATGGATGGTTGATCGACCCTGAAAGTCTTCAAGGGCAGCTGTGACAATGCTGAATCAGCAAATGAATGTACTAAACATGGATGATGGGGTTGTTCGTCATCATGTGTTGAGTGTTTGAGAGGTCTTTAGAGCAGCATGGCTGCCTGTGGGATGGATGGATGGATGGATGGATGGATGGATGGATGGATGGATGGATACATTTGGAAATATGAGTTGGTTAGGGTGGTGAGGCACTGGAATGGGTTGCCCAGGGAGGTTATGAATGCTCCATCCCTGGCGGTGTTCAAGACAAGTTTGGACGAGGCCTTGGGTGGTATGATTTACCGTGATTTGCCAATGGCAGAGGAGTTGGAACTAGATGATCTTAAGGTCCTTTCCAACCCTAACTATACTATGACTCTATGATTCTATGAATATGGAATGCCTGGAGAGCTTTACCTCAATGAGGAGCATTGAGGTTGCATTGATGAATAGATCCATGAATAGATGAGAGGTCAGACGATAGATGATTGAGTGATCCTGTACTGGGCTCCTGATAGGATTCTACAGGTGCAGGGACGGATTGAAAGATGGAAAGGACGATGAATGATGTATGGATGAGGCATGCATGTGTAGATGGATGGATGGATGGATGGATGGATGGATGGATGGATGGATGGATGATGGGTGAGTGGATCCTTGATAGACGGATTGGTGGATGGATGTATGAATGGGTGGATGGATTGTTCGATGGATAGAAGAAAGCATTTATTTGTAGAAGGATGAGTAGAGAGTAACAATGTTTGTTGAATGAGTGGAGGGCTGGAAGGAGGCGGAATGCATGGAGTGTTGAATGGATGAAGGGATACAACACTGAATGCTTGCACTGATGCATGGTTGAGAGAATCTGAGAGTCTCAAAGGCAGGTTTCACTTTGCTGAATCAGTGATTGATTGAACGTACAGAAGGCGGGTGGTGGAGTTTGTGCCTGATCATGTGGTGAGGGTTTGAAATGTCTCTAGAGCAGCACGGCTTCCTGTGAGAGGGTTGGATAGGACGGATGAATGGATGTATTTGGATTTGTGAGTAGAAGAATGGAGAGATGGACCCATGGAATCCAGAATGTCTGGAGTGCTGAGTCCCAGTATTAAGAGTTGCACGGATGAATGTGTGCATCAATGAATAACTGATCGGATGGTGGATGTTTGAGTTTGTCACAGATCCTGTATGGGGTGCTTGATGGGACTTCAGAGACACATGGGTGGAAGGAAATTTGGAAAAGAGGATGATGGATGGAGGTATTGATGAATGAATGGGTGATGGACGGATGGATGGATGGATGGATGGATGGATGGATGGATGGACTGATGGAGGGATGGATGGTAGATGGATGGATAGATGGATGGATAGATGGATGGATGGGTGGGTGGATGGGTGGGGGGATGGATGGATGGATGGATGGAGGGATGGATGGAGGGAAGGATGGGAGAGGAAGTTGGGATGGTTCAGCCTGGAGAAGAGAAAACTGCGTGGAGACCTCATAGCAGCGTTTCGGTATCTGAAGGGGGCCTATAGGGATGCCGGGGAGGGACTCTTCATTAGAGACTGTAGTGACAGGACAAGGGGTAACGGGTTCAAACTGAAAGAGGGGAAGTTTAGGCTGGATCTAAGGAGGAAGTTCTTTCCTGTCAGGGGGGTGAGGCACTGGAATGGGTTGCCCAGGGAGGTTGTGAATGCTCCATCCCTGGCAGTGTTCAAGGCCAGGTTGGACGAGGCCTTGGGTGATATGGTTTAGCGTAAGGTGTCCCTGCCCATGGCGGGGGGGGTGAAACTGGATGATCTCAAGGTCCTTTCCAACCCTAACGATTCGATGATTCTATGATTCTAAGAATGCATGGATGGACGGATGATGGAGGGATGAGTGGATAGGTTAAAGGATGCATGGCTGGCTGGCTGGCTGGCTGGCTGGCTGAGTGTGGGAAGGAAGGAAGGAAGGAAGGAAGGAAGGAAGGAAGGAAGGAAGGAAGGAAGGAAGGAAGGAAGGAAGGAAGGAAGGAAGGAAGGAAGGAAGGAAGGAAGGAAGGAAGGAAGGAAGGAAGGAAGGAAGGAAGGAAGGAAGGAAGGAAGGAAGGAAGGAAGGAAGGAATGAAGGGATGAGTGGGTGGATGGATGGATGGACGGATGTATGGATGTGTGGGTGGATGAAAGGATTGAAGGATGGATGAATGGATGGATGGACAGATGGATGGATGGATGAATGGATGAGTGGGTGGATGGAAGGATGGGTAGATGGAGGGATGAATGGATGGATGGATTTACAGATGAATGGTTACATGGATGGCTGATGGATGGATGGATGGATGCATGGATGGATGGATGAGTGGGTGGATGGATGGATGGATTGAAGGATGGATGGATGCATTCATGGATGAATGGGGGATGGATGGATGGAAGGAGAAAGGGACGGAGGGATGGATGAGTGGGTGGATGGATGGATGGATGGATGAATGGATGGATGAATGGAAGGATTCATGGATGGATGGACGGATGGACGGATGGATGGACGGATGAGTGGATAGGTGGAAGGATGGATGGATGGATGGATGGATGGATGGATGGATGGATGGATGGACGGATGGGTGGATGGATGGGTGGATGGATGGATGGACGGACGGACGGACGGAGGGATGGATGGATGGATGGATGGATGGATGGATGGATGGATGGATGGATGCATGGATGAATGAAGGGATGAGTGGGTGGATGGAAGGATGGATAGATGGACGGGCAGACGGAAGGATGGATGGATGGATGGATGGATGGATGGATGGATGGATGGATGGATGGATGGGTGGATGGATGGATGGATGTGTGGGTGAATGAAAGCATCGTGGGATGGATGAATGGATGGAAGGACAGATGGATGGATGGAAAAGTGGGTGCATGGAAGAATGGGTAGATGGAGGGATGAATGGGTGGATGGATTTACCGTTGAATAGTTACATGGATGGCTGATGAGTGGATCGACGGATTGAAGGATGAATGGAAGCCTGCATGGATGGATGGATGGATGGATGGATGGAAAAATTTGGAAATACAAGTAGATGGTTGGATTGAATGATTCTTAGAATACGGAATGCCTGGAGAGCTTTACATTAATGAGAAGCATTGAGGGTTGCATTGGTGAATAGATCCATCAGTAGATGAGTGGTCAGACAGTAGACGATTGAGTACGTCGATGATCCTGTACCGGGCTCTTGACAGGACTCTATAGATGCAGGGATGGAATGAATGATGGAAGGGACAATGAATGATGTATGGATGATGCATGCATATGTGGATGGATGGATGAATGGATGAACAGATGGATGGATGGAGGGATGTATGGAGAGAAAGATTCACATACAGATGCTCATGGCCTTCATTTTGATGTCTCCACTGCAGCCCCAGCCCGACAGGAGGAGGAATCCCAGCCAGTGCTGGGTGAGCTCAGGGTGTCCGAGGTCACCTCTGACTCGTTGCAGCTGGAGTGGAGCGTCCCCGAGGGCACCTTTGACTCCTTCACGCTGCAGTACCGCGATGCACAAGGCCAGCCCCAGGTGCTGCCCGTGGACGGGGGTTCCCGCACGCTGACGCTGCCGGGGCTGTCCCCGTCCCGCCGCTACAAGTTCAACCTGTACGGGCTGTGGGGTCGCACACGCCTGGGCCCCGTCTCCACCGACACTGTCACAGGTGAGGGGGCTCTGGCACCAGCTGTGGCCCCTTGGACATGAATGGATGGATGAGTGGAAGGATGGATAGATGGATGGGTGGATAGTTGAATGATTGATGGTTGCATGCATGGATGGATGGATAGGGTTATGGGGGTTGTTATGTTTAGGCTTTTGTTCACACTCACAAGTGACTGTTTTGATCACTCGATGATTCCTTGGAGGGATGGGTTAAAGAACCAGTACAGAGAAGAGTGCAGTGAAAGACAGAATAGTGAATAGGTCCGTGGATGGAAGGATGGATGATGGGTGGGTGGATGGATGGATGGATGGATGGATGGATGGATGGATGGATGGATGGATGGATGAATGCATGCATGGATGGATGAATGGGGGGATGGATGGATGGATGGATGGATGGATGGATGGAGGGAAGGATGGGTGAGGAAGTTGGGATGGTTCAGCCTGGAGAAGAGAAAGCTGCGTGGAGACCTCATAGCAGCGTTTCAGTATCTGAAGGGGGCCTATGGGGATGCTGGGGAGGGACTCTTCATTAGAGACTGTAGTGACAGGACAAGGGGTAACGGGTTCAAACTGAAACAGGGGAAGTTTAGGCTGGATCTAAGGAGGAAATTCTTTCCTGTCAGGGGGGTGAGGCACTGGAATGGGTTGTCCAGGGAGGTTGTGAATGCTCCATCCCTGGCAGTGTTCAAGGCCAGGTTGGACGAGGCCTTGGGTGATATGGTTTAGCGTAAGGTGTCCCTGCCCATGGCAGGGGGGGTGAAACTGGATGATCTCAAGGTCCTTTCCAACCCTAACGATTCGATGATTCTATGATTCTAAGAATGCATGGATGGACGGATGATGGAGGGATGAGTGGATAGGTTAAAGGATGCATGGCTGGCTGGCTGGCTGGCTGGCTGGCTGAGTGTGGGAAGGAAGGAAGGAAGGAAGGAAGGAAGGAAGGAAGGAAGGAAGGAAGGAAGGAAGGAAGGAAGGAAGGAAGGAAGGAAGGAAGGAAGGAAGGAAGGAAGGAAGGAAGGAAGGAAGGAAGGAAGGAAGGAAGGAAGGAAGGAAGGAAGGAAGGAAGGAAGGAAGGAAGGAAGGAAGGAAGGAAGGAAGGAAGGAAGGAAGGAAGGAAGGAAGGAAGGAAGGATGAATGGATGAGTGGGTGGATGGATGGATGGATGGACGGATGTATGGATGTGTGGGTGGATGAAAGGATTGAAGGATGGATGAATGGATGGATGGATGAATGGATGAGTGGGTGGATGTAAGGATGGGTAGATGGAGGGATGAATGGATGGATGGATTTACATATGGATGGTTACATGGATGGCTGATGGATGGATGGATGGCTGCATGGATGGATGGATGAGTGGGTGGATGGATGGATGGATTGAAGGATGGATGGATGCATGCATGGATGAATGTGGGATGGATGGATGGAAGTAGGGAGGGACGGAGGGATGGATGGATGTGTGGATGGATGGGTGGATGGATGGATGGATGGATGGATGGATGGATGGATGAATGGATGAATGAAGGGATGAGTGGGTGGATGGAAGGATGTATAGATGGACGGGCAGACGGAAGGATGGATGGATGGATGGATGGATGGATGGATGGATGGATGGATGGATGGATGGATGAATGGATGGAAGGACAGATGGATGGATGGAAAAGTGGGTGCATGGAAGGATGGGTAGATGGAGGGATGAATGGATGGATGGATTTAGAGTTGAATAGTTACATGGATGGCTGATGAGTGGATCGATGGATTGAAGGACAGATGGATGGATGGATGGATGGATGGATGGATGGATGGATGGATGGATGGATGGAAAAATTTGGAAATACGAGTACATGGTTGGATTGAATGATTCTTAGAATACGGAATGCCTGGAGAGCTTTACATTAATGAGAAGCATTGAGGGTTGCATTGATGAATAGATCCATCAGTAGATGAGTGGTCAGACAGTAGACGATTGAGTACGTCGATGATCCTGTACCGGGCTCTTGATAGGACTCTGTAGATGCAGGGATGGAATGAATGATGGAAGGGACAATGAATGATGTATGGACAATGCATGCATATGTGGATGGATGGATGAATGGATGGACAGATGGTTGGATGATTGGAGAGATAGATTCACATACAGATGCTCGTGGCCTTCATTTTGATGTCTCCACTGCAGCTCCAGCTCCACAGGAGGAGGAATCCCAGCCAGTGCTGGGTGAGCTCAGGGTGTCCGAGGTCACCTCTGACTCGGTGCAGCTGGAGTGGAGCGTCCCCGAGGGCACCTTTGACTCCTTCACGCTGCAGTACCGCGATGCACAAGGCCAGCCCCAGGTGCTGCCCGTGGATGGGGGTTCCCGCACGCTGACGCTGCCGGGGCTGTCCCCGTCCCGCCGCTACAAGTTCAACCTGTACGGGCTGTGGGGTCGCACACGCCTGGGCCCCGTCTCCACCGACACTGTCACAGGTGAGGGGGCTCTGGCACCAGCCCCGCTGAACCGCCTCTTGTAGTGGACAGAAGCTTGGGCAGGGCCCGTGCTCGTGCCTTGGTCAGTGGAGGAAAGGGGGTGGGAGGGGATTTGGGATCAATGGAAGAATGGGGGCGTGACAGGTTGGAAGGATGGAGGGGTTGTTCAGGGTGGATGGTTCGATGGGTGGATGGATGGACGGATGGGTGGATAGTTGGGTGGATAGTTGATTGATTGATGGTTGGATGCATGGATGGATGGATAGAGTTATGGGGGTAGTTAAATTTTGGCTTTGGTTCACAGTCTCAAGTGTCTGTTTTGATCGCTCGATGATTCATTGGAGGGATGGGTTAAAGAACCAGTACAGAGAAGAGTGCAGTGAAAGACAGAATAGTGAATAGGTCCGTGAATGGAAGGATGGATGATGGGTGGATGGATGGATGGATGGACGGATGGATGGATGGATGCATGGATGGATGGATGGATGGATGGATGGATGACTAGAAGAAAGGATTTATCAGTAGAAGGCTGAGTAGAGAGTAACGATGTTTGTTGAAAGAGTGGAGGGCTGGAAGGCAGCGGAATGCATGGAGTGTTGAATGGATGAAGGGATACAACACTGAATGCTTGCACTGATGCATGGTTGAGAGAATCTGAGATTCTCAAAGGCAGGTTCCACTTTGCTGAATCGGAAGCGTGGGCAGGGCCCGTGCTCGTGCCTTGGTCAATGGAGGAAAGGGGGTGGGAGGGGATTTGGGATCAACGGAAGGATGCGGGTGTGACAGGTTGGAAGGGTGGAGGGGTTGTTCAGGGTGGATGGTTGGATGGGTGGATGGATAAGTGGACGGATGGATGGATGGATGGATGAAGGATGGATGGATGGATGATGAATGGGTGGATGGATCGATGGATGGATAGTGTTTGAAATGTCTCCAGAGCAGCACGGCTTCCTGTGAGAGGGTTGGATAGGGCGGATGAATGGATGTATTTAGATTTATGAGTAGAAGAATGGAGAGATGGAGCCATGGAATCCAGAATGTCTGGAGTGCTGAGTCCCAGTATTAAGAGTTGCATGGATGAATGTGTGCATCAATGAATAACTGATCAGATGGTGGATGTCTGAGTTTGTCACAGATCCTGTATTGGGTGCTTGGTAGGACTTTACAGATGCGTGGGTGGAAGGAAAGGTGGAAAGGAGGATGATGGATGGAGGTATTGATGAATGAATGGATGATGGATGGATGGATGGATGGGTGAATGGACTGATGGAGGGACGGATGGAAGATGGATGGAAGGATGGATGGATGAATAGACAGGGGGATGGATGGATGGATGGATGGATGGATGGATGGATGGATGGATGGATGTTGGGGTCGACGGGGCGATGAATGGATAGATAAAAGAATGGATGGATGAGTGAGTAGATGAAAGAATGGAAGAATGGATGGATGCATGGATGTTTGGGGGGATGGATAAATGGATGGATGGATGGATGGATGGATGGATGGATGGATGGATGGAAGAATGGAAGAATGGATGGATGCATGGATGTTTGGGAGAATGAATGTATAGAAGGATGAATGGATGGATGGATTTACAGATGAGTTGTTACATGGATGGCTGGTGAACGAAAGGATGGATTGAAGGATGGTTGGAGGGATGGATGAGTGGGTGCATGGAGGCATCGTTGGATGGATCGATGGATGGATTGATAGGTGAATGGATGAATGAGTGGGTGGATGGGAGGATGGATGGATGGAGGGATGAATGGATGGATGGAAGAGTGGGTGTATGGATGGATGAATGGATGGATGCATGGATGAATGGCTGGAATGATGGATGGATGGATGGATGGATGGATGGATGGATGGATGGATGGATGGATGGATTTATGAGTAAAAGCATGAGTATACATAAACAGTGTGCAACGAATTCCTGTAGAGCTGGATGCTGATGGAAAGCATGGAGGGCTGAATGGATGAAAGGATACAGCAATGGATGGTTGGAGTTATGGATGGTTGATGGACCCTGAAAGTCTTCAAGGCCAGGTCTGACTGTGCTGAATTGACAAATGAATGTACTAAAGGTGGATGATGGTCTTCTTCGTCATCATGTGTTGAGTGTTTGAGAGGTCTTTAGAGCAGCATGGCTGCCTGTGGGATGGATGGATGGATGGATGGATGGACGGATGGATGGATACATTTGGAAATATGAAAGGATGGATGGATAGAATGTGAATCATTGAGGGTTGCATTGATGAATAGATCCATCAATAGATGAGTGGTCAGACAGTAGATGATTGAGCATGTCGATGATCCTGTACTGGGCCCTTTATAGGACTCTACAGATGCAGGGTTGGATTGATAGATGGATGGATGGATGTGTGGATGGATGGATGGATGCATGGATGCATGGATGGAAGTAAGAAACGATTTATGAGATGAAGGATGAGTATACATAAACAATATATGTTGAATTCCTGGAGAGCTGGATGCTGAAGGAAAGCATCTAGCGCTGAATGGATGAAAGAATACAGCAATGGATGGCTGGAGTTATGGATGGTTGATCGACCCTGAAATTCTTCAAGGGCAGCTGTGACAATGCTGAATCAGTAAATGAATGTACTGAAGGTGGATGATGGGGTTGTTTGTCATCATGGGTTGAGTGTTTGACAGGTCTTTAGAGCAGCATGGCTGCCTGTGGAATGGATGGATGGATGGATGGATGGATGGATGGATGGATGGATGGATGCATGGATGGATGGATGGATGAATTTGGAAATATGAGTTGGTTAAGGTGGTGAGGCACTGGAACGGGTTGCCCAGGGAGGTTGTGAATGCTCCATCCCTGGCAGTGTTCAAGACAAGTTTGAACGAGGCCATGGGTGGTATGATTTACCGTGAGGTGTACCTGCCAATGGCAGGGAAGTTGGAACTAGATGATCTTAAGGTCCTTTGCAACCCTAATTATGCTATGATTCTGTGATTCTATGAATATGGAATGCCTGGAGAGCTTTACCTCAATGAGGAGCATTGAGGTTGCATTGATGAATAGATCCCTCAATAGATGAGTGGTCAGACAATAGATGATTGAGTACTTCGGTGATCCTGTACTGGGCTCTTGATAGGATTCTATAGATGCAGGGATGGAATGAATGATGGAAGGGATGATGAATGATGTATGGATGAGGCATGCATGCGTGGATGGATGGATGGATGGATGGATGGATGGATGGATGGACGGATGGACGGATGGAAGGATGATGGATGGGTGAAGGGACTGACAGAGGGATGGATGTTGGGTGGATGGATGGATGGATGGATGGATGGATGGATGGATGGATGGATGAAGAGACAAAGAGACAGGGGGATTGGTGGCTAGCTTGCTGAA